TAGGAGACTGCGCCCTCGAGATCGAGCTACTGGCATGACCATCTATGATGGTAAGGGATCAACACGCGTCGTGGTTTGTTCCTTTGGGGGTGCTGAGAAGATGCAGATGATAGTGGACCTGATCGGCAAAAACTGTAACATGCCTTGTGTTATGCTAACTAGAACCACGGCATTTGTTTGTCCCTTGGCCGAACTTGAATACGCAGCATATGCGCTAAAGTTGGCTTTCAGCTATACCTGGCTCCACTTTGACTAATGACTGCCACGGAAGGTTAAACTGAAGGCAGGGAGAAAACATAGCCGAAGAACGAGAGCACCCAATGTTTTGGTCTCCCACGGCAAACATAAGGAAATTCCGCCACTGGCTTTCCAGTTTAGCCCCCTTGGCAAAGGGTGCATACCAGAGCAGGTATGCAGGTGTGTGTTACTTCCTACATAAACCCCTAGTCTCCCTAGTAGTCCCGAACGGGATCCTAAAACTAGAAACCCCAGTAGGACATGCCCATTCCGGAGAAAATTGGGATGGTACTGTTCCAGATTGTGGTAGTCAAGGTTGTCTCCAGAACATAATGGTGTACTACTCCGTCCTGTTCATCAAACCAGGGGTGTCGCAGTCCTTGAAGAATTATCCCGCCCCTGTGTAGCAAAGATGTCCTCAATTTCGTGAGATATGACACCAATTTTAAACATTACCTGCCACTTGCCAGATGGCAACAGGTACATGTCATTGCAAAGCATATGTATATGAACGCACCGTTTTCCGCTCCTTCCAACGAAATTGGGATATTTGTTTCTATCCGCCTCTAACCCTTTTACCTCTTAAGCTGTCGCACAATACGATCAACAAGGAGAAACGTGTAATAGATACTGTGGAGGAATGCTATAGTAACGAACGAAGGTAGAATCATATCTAGTCAGCCCTGCCTTCTCTTCCAGGCCAAACAGCCAGTGTTCCTAAGGCGAAACGATGTGTGAACGGAGTTCTCAGCTGCCACCATACGATCATTGCAGCTGGGGATGTCTTGGACTTGTAGATGGGGCTGCAGCCGGCCCTATTCTAGCAAGAGCTTCATATATGCGGTGGTACCTAACTGCGAACACGAAAATTTTGCATCTGCTGTCGTTAGTCGGCGAATCCTGCTCTCCTTTGATGCTCCTTCATTGGACACGCAAGGGATATGCGCAGATCATCCACTGCTCGCTCATTATGCCAACAGGCAGTAAAAGCGGCAACCCACTAAGGTACACACCGCAGAAAGCTGTGGGGCAAGCGGCCCGGCATTCTCGGGGTACGAGCACGTGCCGAGTGGGAAAGGATCCTGATCCATATATGCGGGCTTAATTTCTTCCTCCGTTAATATCTTAGAATGACACCCGCTCATATTGATATAGACGCACCTAGCAAATCATCACCTCAGGATTTTTCGTTTTCGTGTATCTGACCGTTTTGTCCATTGAGTCGATGATCATGATGGAGAAAGTATCCCTTCGATCTTTGCATCCGACGAGGGAAGCCCTACAAACAGAACCAACTTACAGCAAGCCAGCTACAAGGCGGCAAAATCTCGCATGCACAGCTTGTCGCAGAAAGCGAAGAAAGGTGATTTCACCCCACAGCTTTGTAATTGCAATCACGTAATTGACCAAAACAGTGTACCGGCGCACCGCTTTGCCAGTTTTGCGTGGCCTCAAACTCAGTGTGCGTGTTCGAACTACATAAAGACAAGCGCAGAAAGATGGCATTACGACACGCCGAGGGAACCAAGCAACGACTGGAGGATTTCCTCAAGCGTCTACTCATATTCCTTGCAAGCAAAAGTGATGAAGCGATTCTCAAATGGAGGAGATGCCTTGGCAGTGCTCAGTCGCCTGAGACGATATTTGAAAGCTTGAAAGTAGCGATGGCTGAGGTCCCGAACCTAGTCAACAGTGATAGGACCTAAGTGAGTATCTTATCTTCTTGTTTGCTCCCCTTTCGTGAGCTTCACCGGTGCCCGTTCATTACGCCGCCGTAGGTTCGGGTCATGCCAGCGTTGTAAATCGCTCAAGAGAAACTATGATACAAGCTGCATAAGAAGAGGCTCCTGTCACACCAGTAGGGACTGCTTACGAGATAGTACGGAAAGATCAGGTCTTGACTTCCTGGTCATGCTCTAGGTAGGTCTTGTTCGATTGCAGGTCTAGCTAGGTTCGCATTTTGTGGGGGCGGAGGCGCCCGTGGGCAGTCCTAGCCGCCTTTTCCCGTCGCTGTCTTCCCAAATCCCTTGCAATTGGTGTAAAGCAGCCTTGACAGGCCTGTACGTTCAAGCCATTGCTCCGGCTTTTCATTCGCTCGATTGCCTTGAGCGACTTTCGATTATTGAGGCCCTGACCGGAACCTCTAACCCCGGTTTGCTCCAGGTTTGCGCCTAACTATGCATCCTCGGCATACAGCTAAATGCAATCACCACCGTTATCACTGGAAGTGGCTTGTCCACATCACACCGCGCTCTAACAGCCACATCAGGACTCTTATTACTTTTTTGTCGTATGGCTCTTTACGCTTGGGTTGTCCGTCGATCCGCTGAGGCGAAGGCAACTGTAGGCTAGTCAAGGCAACCACTGGCTATAATAACCTGGTCAACAGGAAAGTAAATCCTAGAAATGATGTCCCAGACGTACCTCACGTAACCATCTCCAAGTGTGCTTTAATACATAAGGTGATCAATTCCCCCATTTATGTTCTGGTTATTTCGCACGATATATCATATCCCCTTTCAACCTTAATATTACCTTGAGTGTCCCTGGACTCTAGCATAGAACCTACGGTCGAAAGGGCCAGAGATTAGCCAGTTATATTAGATGCGAAAGGCCCCCGAAGGGTATCCATGACCTTACCAACAGAGCACCACAGCTACAGGATAATATGTAGTGTGTACTGGTGCCTACTTTGCATGTTGTTATTTATGGCATCGTCAATGAAGTCTAAGCCTAAACTCTAGAAAACCACGATTCCGGAGAAGGAATACTTATGGATGACACTGGAAGCTTAATATAGAATATTTCACCCTGCATGCCATTGATGCAGGCACACACAGATGGGATATGAATCACCTTCATCTGCTTCACGAGGGATGCTACCGCTTTAGCTTGTATTCCGAACTTACTTGCCCAAGCAGCCGAAGTAAAATACAAAGATATAGTGAGATGATCGTGCCTATCATGGCACGGATTCATAGTATAGTCGGTCCGCTTCTCAGGAACAGACTAGAAGCGCAGCCAGAGAAACTAAACTTCAGCTAGAATACATATAGCGGATGGCACAGGGATTATCCACCCCTGCCTCGCACCAATACAACTCCGTACGTAGACCTGCATCAAAGACACCCAATGACTGGGCGGTTATGTGAACCTCGGGCATAACACCTATAAAGTAGATAAACACCAGAATACAGGGTAGTATATTTCCAGCATTTATTCAAATTGTGCGACGGGTTTCAAAGCCCCCGTCGGTGGGCCAACCTCTGGGGATGTTTTAGTCAAACTTGTCCCTGTCTCTAGTTGAGGGATTGTCATTTAAGTCTCAGCTCCACATGCCTTCGAGCCTAAAAACTAGGCCGAGCCGAAAGCACCCTTTCTGCTGTGGCGGATGTGGAAGCAATCTAACATATGACACTACCAGCTCCTGTGGTCAACATCCTACGTTTATTTACTTGAAGCATTTGGTGACCACGCCATAGCACCTTGGGGTTTGGAATTTCGAACTACTGGCTGCGCCTTTATCGCAGTATCTATTCACCAGGTCCTTCGGCGTACTATGCACTTGTCCGCTGGTTGATTCGACGTCCAGAGTATGATAAATTGGGGAAACTGCTTGCTGTCTGGCCCAGGGGCAACAGTAGGGACCGGGCAGAAGATCATCTTACCATGTACGACTCCTAATCAGTGTCCGACCTTTGGGGTAGGGCAACCAAGTGAGACGTAGGCAACCACCCAGTTTGACTTTGTTGGTGGCCAATGCGGTATCTCCTAGACTGGGGCAACTGAACCCGAAAAGACACTAATACCTAGTCGTATAAAGGAAGCGTCAGAATAGGCCGTAGTCTTCTTGCCCTCATAAGTGATAGTTATTATCTCTCCGCGAGGAGTCGGTTTGCTGGTGACATGGCTGCGGAAAGCAAGTATTTGCTGTGCTCTCTCAGCCTTCGGTTTTGAAGACGCCGTTACTCGTATCAAACGACTAATAGGCCCTCAAGCGTGGTTCAGGTCACACAAGTTGTTATCGCATAAACGCCAATGCGGCCTTCGCTCCTTAGGTGCACATGCAGGCGAACCAATTCCTAATTGGAAGCAAACGAGCCGGGCAGAGTTGGGTCTGTCCGGAAATCTAGTATTTGGATACATAGATACAGATAGTAAATCAGCAACAGGGGTAGAATGTTCTGTTTCCAAACTATGTTTCAAGTCGATGTGCAATATGTCGAGCAGGTACTGTGTATGAGGAAGATAACATTATTTTCATACGGGAGCACGATGCCGGAGAGGAAAACTCATATATGTGCCTTACAGTAGCAGTGGTGAACGCATGCTCCTCCCTTCTCCAATAAATCGCTTAAAAGAATACGAAAACCTACGGTCTTACATCTTACGGGAGTCCATATTTTGGTGCATACTTCGGTCATGCTTTAGTACATAAAGGGTAAAGATTTACTTGCGTATTTGCATGACTTCATGGTAACAGCAGGACAAACCGTTATTTGGAGCCAGTAAAGGTACAGCCCACTGCTAATCTAGTTATAACTAGACTCAGAGAAGGACCGCGGGCAACCATATGCCCCACTTCTGTCTCAGCCTGTACCATTGCACCTTACGATTTAAGATGCGTAGTTCAGGCGTCCGATGGCATGTTTGCCTCCTTCTTTCTTGATGGATATGTAAGGGCTAAAGACATTAAGACAGCGACTGGAAGTTTCCAAACGAGCAGACCACAACCACGCCTGCACGCATGATACGTCAACTACGTAGCGCGGTAACGGGCGCAAAGCGAACATAGAATACGCTGAAAAAAAGGATCATAGACTGCATCCGAGTCCCTTTCCCTCCTTGGCCTCACACAGAAGGGGGACAATAGAAAAGAAAGTAAAAAAGCCTCCCAAACACAGAAACTCTTCGTAGCATGTTACAATGCGCAAACCCAAGGAGCAGTCCCGCCCACAGCAAATGGCAAAGGAGACGCTGTTGGGGGAGATGGGGAAGAGAGTTAGCAGTCAATGAGGCATCTGGCGAGAGCAAACTTGTAAATTGAACATGATAAGACGCCAGTGCATATTGCTAACGCGATATAACTCCTGCCCCAAAGCAGTCGCTATCCAAAATCTTCTCAGTTCATCTAGAAACAAACCCCATCCGTCTCTTCAGGCTGCTTCAAGATGCGGACTGGCAGCTTCTACTCACGTCTGAGTGCTATTGAATGTAAGTGAAGGGAGTTCCGCCCTTGAGAAATTATATCATGGTCTGAAATCCTAGCGGAAAATTCTGACAACCATGATCATAGAGCTGCACAAGCCGCATGTAGTGGTGCTGAGCACGCTGTATGTCTACCAGTGATGTGACCAGTAAAGGCTGCCTAACGATCGGGCCTCGATCTTGTACAGCCACCGGCGTTCCGTGGAGACTTTGGGCTTGAAAGTCAGGAGTTGGTTGTGGATCATGACGGTATGGTGCCAATTGGTTCGGAGGATATTGGTTAGTTGTATCGAAAAATGCGACTTGCACAGGATGCTGGATTTTTAGGCCCCCGGTCTTTGAGGGCAGAGATGACACGGTTTCTGGGGGATGGAACCGATGTTGATGTCTGGTCAAACTCGCCTTGCGGCAGAACCTTCATGTTCTTAGAAAGTCAGCAGCATAACAACCGGGATATTACTTACGTTCGTTTGCAGGTTGACTCCTGGCAAATATAGGGTCGTTTCCCTGTATGGATCCTCCGATGACGGGCTAGACTTGATGACTTGTGGCGGTCAGCATAAAGGGACAAGGGTAGGAGGGTATTTTACGTACGTCAGAAAAAGCTTTGTGGCAACCACTGTTGTCACAGACATGAGGCCTCTCCCCAGTATGGATCCGCGAATGAACCATCAATGCGCTCCGCTGAATGAAACTCTTGTGGCAATTGTTGACGGTGCATTTATACGGTCGCTCGTTGATGTGTATTCGGTAATGCCTGCGTAGATCTGCCTTGCGACCGAAGACCTGCTACCGTCAGCGTGGAAGGCAATATCCCATCGAGTACTCGATGACGAATTGGAAAATAAAAAAGGGGAGAGACCAGGCAGAACATATGCCTATACCTTGTCACAATGCACCCAGTCGCAGCGAAAGCCGCGACCGTCTTCGCAGAAACCCATGGTCGAGGGGACGCAGGGCAGAATAATGTTGTTGGAGAGGCGAGCGACGACCAAGAATTAGCTGAGAGTGGCCTGACTGGCAGTAGTACCAGAAGCACAGGAAGCAAACACGATCTCAGTGCAAGAAAAAACTTGAACAAGGAAAGCGAAGAAGATAGAGATAAAAGTAATAGTAAGGGTGAACTAATACTTCAGAACGATGACCCGAATGCGTACTGTGATAGAAGTGAAAATCGAAGAAAAGCAAGGGGGGAAAAAAAGAACGCGGTCTACAATTGCGTATGGGAAGCAGGAATGCTATTGAAAGTTATATCAGGAACTTATACGCAGGACACGCAGGCTCGACAGTAAGCACAGAAGATCTCAATGGGCAAGCTGATTGGCAGACAGGCCGCAGGTGCAGTAAAAGACAGGTGGTTGGTGAGGTTGCCCTAGAGCACCGGCACAACTGATTAGAGGTGTTCAAGTATGATGTGCGTCTTTCTGGTATAGTGGCATGTGATGATGGCTCAGGGGTTTCTCATTCCCAAGCTTGATGGATAGAAGTCCATATGATAGGCCGACTTCGTAATGTTCACTTTCCTACTAATAACTTAGTGTGGCTGCCGAGACGCCGATCCTGGATCATTTCAGATGCTAGTAAAGCTTCTAGCCACTTTTATTTGGCGCTGCCTTCGTAAGTGACGTAAAGGCTGGATGCGCCAAGAAGAGGCAGCGAATGGATAGTGACACATCTTACGTAATTGTGAAAGTGCCCGGGCATCTGCAGCATCTTATAATGGAAGTTGCTGGTCTGGCCGAACAACTGGTTTGCATCCGTTAGATAGAGGAGTGCTTAATTCAGTATAAGACAGGATACAGACGAGCGTCCCCGCCCCAAGGTCTACTTAGACTGCGTTGACTAAGCTCCAAGGCGGAAAAGATAGGCGGCCCCAAGCCGTGTATCGATCGTGTTATGTCGATTGTCGACGGGAGGTTGTTACCCGAATCACAGCGCATATGCATAGCCCCTTCCGGACTCTGGATACGTGTAAGATGTTTCGGTTGGCCGCCGCAACTGCAGGCAAGGCAAGGCAAGGCAAGGCAACTACTGGCTATGATAATTATTCAGTTCCATCAAAAGCTCCAGCTGGCACCTCGAATTGGGTCAATTGTATCAGCGTGTGATCTAATGTGTGATCACTTGCTTCCGTCTCCCAAGATATATCGTACAAAAAGGGGTTGCCTCCTTTCATCAGAAACACTGGTTGTGGCTTTTCAGGGTCAAAGACCATCCCTAGAAGTTGCTTTGAAGCAGCAGCAGGCCGAGCCTTCATCTTAAACTTCAGCTGAGGCCGATTAAACACCCATGTCCAAATACCAAAACCAAGAAGCGCAAGCGCGAGATCACGTTGCGAGAGGGAAGTTGGATGAGATGTGCTGTCGGCATAATGGGGGCCAGAGACCAACTTCCGAAGGCCAGAAGCAGAATGCCAACAAATGTGCCTTGAAGGCCGGTAATCAACGAAGGAGCAGTAGTCGAAGGGTGGGGATGGTCAGGGCAAGCAGGACCAGGTTCTAAAAGAGCAAACCAGAGAAGAGAGACAGGATGGTGATGAAACGGTTATCTCCCCTTTTATGGAGGTATTACATAGACGAGGATCCCTCCTAAGCCGCGGGTCGGTCGACGGTTCCAATAAGATGCCTGAAAATAGAACTTGTCAAGGCGGGTGGTGCATCCACCAACGGTGAAGACGGCTAGCGCGGATGTTAGGCCTGGAAAAGAGAGAAACGAAGAGTTCGGTGGTTCGATAGTGTGATTAACAAAACCGCTTCTGTATATATCGTACGATCTTAGGATAACGTAGGGCACGCTACCCTGGCTCACATATGGGAGGGACTATAGGTTGATTTATACTAGCTACAATCTCAGGCCATCACACAAATAAGTAACAGGATCCGATACTTCTATTCTTCTTCTTACTATCATCATATAGCCTCAGGCTATTGCGGCCATAGGCTGCATGGAGCCCCCAGCTACTGGCTTGCTTCTCTATCTACCGTTGATGGTTATGTCCTACATCTCTACTGTTCCCTTGCGTCAATCATTAATATATTCTTGGTTTTGTCAAATCTTTGTATCCGTACCCCTGGGGTCTCGCTCCTTAACCTGCCTGTGTTTCGCGCAAATTTAACACAGCCCGTACTACTTCTAGGTTAGTTTTCCGCCGAGATGGGTCGCTATCGAGAACGGTGACCCATCGGTGCGGACCTGGCCCGATCTGCCTCCTAGCGCAAACGACAAATCGCCAGACCTGTCGCCCATCGCTTCAATTCATGTCGTGGCGAAGATGATCTCACCTTCAACGTCGAAAGATAAAGTGCCGTATTGACTCCATACTCAGTTTCCTTGCCACACGCACAGGTGTCCTGCTACCCGATTGCTGCATTGTAAACAGAAAACTTCGCAAATCCGCGTGGCCTGTTCTCAGCTGCGCCAAAATAGATGCCTCGTGTCGATCTAGGTCATCATATAGGAGTCTCGTGTGCTTGCCTGGGAGTGCAGTTTCGAAAGCCCGCGTGGATTTGCCCCCATCTCAGTTGGAATTCTTGTATCTTCGCTTTTGAGCCGATCCGGCGCATCTCGTTCCGCATTCTCGTTCCACAAGGTGGAGTTGAGTAACTGAAGGGGTGGGTCGGGACCGCTCGGCTCTTCGGGTCCTCGATTCAGGAGAGACTGCACCTCTACTACGTAAGTGCTTTCCGTGAGGTCGCGAGCGGCCAACCAGTGTAGCTCCGGTTGCAAATGTTGAAATGTGACGCCATCTCCTGTGGCTTAGAAGCCTCCCTCACTCATCATTAAACAGAGGATCCGATAGACAAGCATCCATGGCTTCTCGATGTCTATGTATCACGTGATAATATCGTATGTAGATCTTTGCCGAATCCGTTGGAACGGTGGAACCCACGTATGCTGTGATTAAAACGCAGTGTCGTAAATTTGACACAACCTGCGAATGGGACATGCTAGGAGAATATGTTGACTGGCATGGATAAAATGAAGATCGCTAACCTCCTCAACCCAGCTCCAAATGATTTTTGCCAAATTGAACACCACAATAATTCTTTAGTACCCATATCTCCTTCGGGAAGC